TTTAGCTGGGTTATATTAGCTATGAAGATTTATATTGTATGTAAATCATATACACGAGTCCCCAGAAAAAGGACAACATGCTAAGTAAAACAGAAGCTCAGCTAAAAACAGGAAGACCCTCAACAAACTCGACTGACGCAGCAGCAGTGGGCTCAAACCTGAGCATTGTGAGGAAGCTGGAGGACCGGGCAGTGTTTCCTTCTGTTTTGTACAGGGTTACTTACACTTAGAACTGACTCAGTGGGACCTAGCAACAAGAGTAATACATGATGGAATTTAAACAACATCTACCTGCTATTAGTCTTGTGTATTTAAAAGCCACTTTTTGAATTTTCACATTTCATGCAGAAATTTTTTGTTTCTAGTGTTCCTCATTATGTTTCTTTCTCACATCTTCTTTATTGCTGAGAACTATTATTACTTTTGTTGTTATTGTTAGGTACTGTCCAGTCAGTACACACTTATAATGACCTGTCTGGTCCTTCGTCAGCCTCACAGTTGTTACTTCACCTCACTCCATTGCTGTGGCTGCTGTGTCATCCATCTTGTAGGGGTCTTTTTATTTTCGTTGACCCTCCACTTTACCAAGCATGATGTCCTTCTCAAGCATTGGTCCTTCCTGACAATATGTCTGAAGACTGAGACACAAGTCTGGCCATCTTGGCTTCTAAGCAGCACTCTGGTTGTACTTCTTCTGAGACAGATTTGTTTGTTCTCTTGGTGGCCAATTGTTGTTGTTGTCACATGCCATTGAGTCAGAACCGACTCATAGCCACCCCATACATAACAGAACGAAACAATGTCTGATCCCGGGCCAACCTCAATACCGCTGCCACACTTGAGTCCGTCAATGCTGCCACCTGGCTGATCCATCTCATTGGGGGTCTTCCTCTTTTTCTCCGACCCTCCATCTTACCCAGCATGACATCCTTTTCCAGCTACTGTTCCCTCCTGACAATATGGCCAAAGTATGAGAGACGAAGTTTTGCCATCCTGGCCTCAAAAGAGCACTCTGGCTGCACTTCTTCCAAAACAGATCTATTGGTTCTTTTGGCAGTCCATGGCACTTTCAGTATTCTCCTCCAACACCACAATTCAAAGGCATCAATTCTTCTACAATCTTCCTTATTAACTGTCCAGCTTTTGCATCCATATGAGGTTGTTGAAAACACCATGGTTTGGGTCAGGCACACCTTAGTCCTCAAGCTGACATCTTTGCTCTTCAACACTTCAAAAATTTTCTGTGCAACAGATTTGCCTAATGCAATAAGTCGTCTGATCTCTTGACTACTGCTTCTGTGAGTGTCGATAGTTGATCCAAGAAGAATGAAGTCCTTGACGACTTCAATCTTTTCTCCATTGATAAGAATGTTGTTTATAGGGCCAGTGGTGAGGATTTTTGTTTTCTTTTCATTGAGATGTAATCCATACCGAAGGCCACGCTCTTTGATCTTCATCAGTAAATATTTTAAGTCCTCTTCACTTTCAGCAAGCAAGGTTGTATCATCTGCATATCGCACATTGTTAATGAGTCTTCCTCGAATCCTGATGCCACATGTTTCTTCATAGAACCCAGCTTCTCGTATTATTTGTTCAGCATACAGGTTAAATAAGTATGGTGAAAGAATACAACCTTGTTGCACACCTTGGCTGCCCATGGTACTTTTAATATTCTACTCTATCAACATAAATCAAATGCATCAATTCTTCATTGGTTTTCTTTATCCATTATCCAACTATCACATACCATGGCTTGGGTCAGGCACATCTTAGTCCTCAAACTGACATCTTGGCTCTTAAACATTTTAAAGAAGCCTGTGCAACAGATTTTCCTAATGCAATATGTTGCATGATTACTTGACTTCTGCTTCCATGAGTGTTGATGATTGAGCCCAGCAAAATGAAGTCTTTGACAACTTCAATATTTCCTCCCTTTATCTTCATGTTACGGATTGGTACAGTGGTGAGGATTTTTTTGTTTTGTTTTTGTTTTTTTCCAGTGAGATACAATTCATACCAAAGGCTGTGGTCTTTGATCTTCATCACGAAATATTTTAAGTCCTCAAAAGACCTTCCAGTTAGGATTTTTTTTATCAACATATATCACAGGTTGTTTCTTTTTCAAACCCTGATGCCACATTTTTCTTCATATATCCAGCTTCCCAACTTGTTTACTCAGCATACAGATTGAATAAGTATGATGAAAGAATACAACCCAGGCACATACCTTTCCTAATTTTAAACCAAACTGCATTCCCTTGTCCTGTTTGAACAACTGCCTCTTGTTCTAGACTACTCATTTTCCACAATGTTGTCCATAGCTTTTTGTGATACACAAAATCAAAATCCTTGGTTTCATCAATGAAACACAGGTAAACATCTTTCGGATGCTCTCTTTTTTCATCCAAGATCCGTCTAATGTCAGCAACTATATCCCACATCCCATGTCCTCATCTGAAACTGGCTTGAATTTCTGGCAGTTCCCTGTCAATTAACAGTTGTAGCTGTTTTTGAATCATCTTTAGCAGCATTTTACTCACATGTGATATTAATTACATTATCTGATGATTTCCACATTTTGTTGGTTCACTTCTCTTTGGAATGGGCACACATATGGATCTCTTCCAATCAGTTGGCCAGGTAACTGTTCACCAGATTTCTTGGCATAGATGAATGAGTGTCTCCAGTGCTGCATCAGTTTGTTGAAAGATTTCTATTTGCATTCCATCAATTTCCAGAGCCTAGTTCTTTGCTACTGGCTTCAGTACACGTTGGACTTCATTCAGTATCATTGGCTCTTAATCATATGCTACCTGTTTGTATGATCCTTTTTTGTACAAATGAATTATTTTAAGTTTCCAGGACATTTTTATTGACATTGCTTTTGAATTTACTGTCAGAATGCAATTATTTAGCTCATTGCCACTATTAGTGGTTATTATTATTATTGTAAACTTACTGTTTTGTTTTATCCTCCTTTTCTCTCTCCCTTTACTCTTCTGAGCCACCAGCCACCCCTCTCTCTCTTAATTTATTCAGCTCTGGTTTCCTAAGTATTAGTAAGGATGGATATATATATGTAGTCATAGTTCCACTTCTCTAAAATGTTCCTGTACAGATCAGAATTGCTGTCAATCTTTATTGGTCTCTTAGCCTTTAGAAAAAGTAAATTCAGGGAAGAATGCGTCATGTGATGTGCTTCCCACTGAAGACAATTGCTAGAACACATCAGGAAAATTAGATACTTGTGTCTTGCTTCTGCATCGGCTTTTAACGTAAGCACAGAAAACCTGTACCCTGTGCTCAAACAAAAATCTCTAATTGCCTCAGATGCTGTTTTCCTTAAGTATGAATGTCCATACATTCCTTTTACCCACCTCAGTAGGTATTTAAGTTTTTGCCTTATTATTGAACAAGGTATATTCTTCCGTATTCTAGAGGCTAGCTTCTATCATGTCTTATTACCATGATATGCATGATTTCATTACCTTTAGATGGATTCATTTTATAAAGCCTAATCCATGAAAATATTTTCCTTTGCTTAAAGATTTCTTGATAATATATTTAATAAAGATTGGTGGCAATACATAATTTTTGAATGGATGTCAAACAAATGACATGCTTCTACATTGGTGGTTAGGACAACCAGTTTGGAATTTTTTTGACAGATCAAAAACCTAAAGTGAAACATCTTCCATATGGCTTTCCAGAAACATAGCCAAAACTAATGAGAAAACTCACCACCTTACACAAGAACCTTCCTTTCAACCCAATATACAATGACTACAAGCTGGTCATTATCTAAATGCTCAATGCTCATCAAGAGCAAAATGAGAAAATACATTTTAGTATATTCATAAAACTGAATGCTACTCAGTCAAAAAAAAAAATGAAAAAAAAATACTGATGGTTACAAAAACATAAATGAATAACAAGATGGGTTAAATTACATGATTTAGTATATAGTGTTTGATTTCATTTTTATAAAATCCAAGTATGAGGAGAACCAATCAATGGTGATAGAAATCAGAAAATGTTTGCAATTTACTTATCTGGGGCATGGACTTTGCTGTGATATATTCTAAATCCTAAAATGGCCATAGATAAGTTTTTCAAAAATTAATTACATCAAGACTAAATAAAACAATCTCTAGGTCTGTAGTAGATCCCAGGAGCTTAAGTTTGTAAGTTGAAAATGTTAATTAATTTCTTAACAAATACTCCCCAACATACATATTTCAGGTGTCCTTAGGACTATTCACTGAGAAATATTGCTCCACAGTGAGTATGACAGAAGTTCAGTTTACATACTGAGATGTTACCTTATAAACTGTTGCTGTCTTCTTAGTTAGTTCATCCATATGTTCTCTTGACCTCCTATCACTATTCTCAGTTTCAAACTTAAATTCTGAAAACAAATATGGGCAAAATACCCAGGTAATTTATCATCCCATCTGGCATATATTTGAGTATCAAAAAACCAGAAAGTATCACTGTCAAGGTGATGCTGACTCATGGTAACATGTCTTGTGTTACAGAGTATAACTGTTCCATAAGGTTTTCTCGACTCCAATGGTTATCAAAGTATTGCTGTTGCAGTTGTTGTTAAGTGTCAATGAGTCAGTTTCAACTCACAGTGGCCCTGTATAGGATTTCGGAGGCTTTAAGTCTTTTGCAGGAGGAGAAAGCCTCATCTTTCTCTAGCAGAGTGGCTGGTGTGCTCGAACCTCCAACCTTATGGTTCACAGTCCAGTGATTATCCTTATGTGTTTATTTCATGGCACCACTGGGTGATATCAGTGGTCAGTGTCTGCATTAGGAACCCAGTGCAAACTGTGACACCTAGTGAAAAAGTAATCATTGTACCAAGACAACAGGCATAAAGTTGGCAAACTGGGACCTAGTTTTATTCTAATGATGGAGAAAAAGGCCACAAACTTTAAAATAAGAATGGACACAGTAAAGGTAATACTTTTTTTTTTTTTTTTCTGGTTTTCCAGATTTATCTTATGCATGGACCTTCAATGACAACCCTCTACATGTCCAAGAGGACAACAGACGGTTTGTATCTCAAGAGACAGGAAACTTGTACATTGCCAAAGTGGAACCGTCAGATGTGGGCAACTACACTTGCTTCATAACAAACAAGGAAGCCCAGAGAAGTGTACAAGGACCAGCTACTCCATTAGTACAGCGTACCGATGGTAAGGTGATGCCTTATTGTGGAAATAAACTTTAATCAGGGCTGATGAAACCTAGTGAGCTCTGCACAGCTTTTGACTTCACTTGTGATCAGTATAGCCACATTATCTCTGAGCTTAGGTTTAATTTAATTTACGAATCAGATCACTTGAAATTTTATAACTCACCCAAATGATACTGAAAATATGATTCTGGGCTTACTGTGCCTTAGTTTCTTGACCATTGGGATGGATTCTATTTCGTTGCTTAGGGATTTACTTTAGGAAAATAATGGATTGTTGGCTTGGGAGAAGTCATGTGTGTGTGTATATGTGTGTGCATGTATGTATGTTGTCAAGTTTCCATAGTTGAATTAGTGTATTTGTAACGAACATATGATGCAGCTTCTTCAAGTGCCCCTTTCTTTTCCATATTTGCCTTTTGGCTTCTCCTTCATTTACTAGGCTGACAAGATGGGGGTAATTTTTATATTCAGAAAAAGCAAATCAAGCCAATGACAATTATAAGCAGTTAGAAAATAATACAATAAAAATTTCATTTTAACTATATTTCTCCAAGGAACATGATTCAGATTGAGCTCTGATGAGGTTTGTAGATTTAGTGGCATCAGAGTTAATACAAAATTTTAAAAGCTAGAAAACCTAATCAAGGCATTGAAGTAGAAAACTTCTGCAATTATTCTTTTTACATGAGTATGAACATGTAAATAGAAATCTATTGGTACATCTTATGACCAGATTATAAACTTGAAATACAATGTTTCATAGAGTTTTCCTGCTCCCAGAGGAATTAAAGGGAAGCAGTGATGTAAGGGTAATAATAAATAACAAAACTATGAAACTAATTCCATATAGGGAATGCCTATGATAGACCTCTTATAATCACTAACCATCCAATGGTATTTGCATGGTCTTAATTGAGCAATCCCTGGATGTATTTATAAGTGCAATTTATCTATTTCAGTGAAAACTCTAGAAACTCTTCATTACTGGACAAATGCATGAGCTAACAATGTGTATAGAGATTCTACCACATTTTCCCATTCTATTTCTGCCTACTCTTAATTTCAGACTCTTCCCTTCTAAAGTCCTTACTTCTTTCATATTCTCCCTTCCCTTGAATAATATTTATCATAAAAATAAACCACAAATATTATACATGAAGTAGTATAGCCCACTTCTCCACTGAGCCAATTCCAATACATATCAACCCTATATAGTGTTTCTCCCAAGGAGTGGCTGCTGGTTTTGAGCCACCAACTTTGTGGTTAGCAGCCCAACACCTAATGCACAGTGTCACCTGGGCTCCCTTTGGAATGGTCAAGGTCATAAGCATGAGGTATTTTTATTTTGCATATGATTTGTAAATACCACATTTTCTAAAATTGTACTGGCCACCAACAAAACTCTTTACTTCTGAATGTATTATTCTGGTGTTCTGAATGTGAATAAGAAGTTATCAATTTTTTTTTTTTTTAAATCTTGAGTTCTCTTTGATTAACTTAATTAGGTTCATGGGCATAACCCAGTAATGTATTTCTGTTTAACTCCTCTGGTATATATTGTGTCTGCAATTAATGCATTAAGCAATGTTCTTAGCCTCATCTAAACCTGTGATCTCAGTTCCTAATCAGAAATTATAAAACAAAATATCTGAAAATTCTAAAATGTAAAATAAGTGTATAAGAAACTAATTTAATAGCAAAGCTTTAAGTGACAAGAGAATATATGTCTTTTTAGTGTGATTATTTTATGTGGCTTGCTTCAGAAATAATATTTTGGATTAAGAAGTTCTACATCAGTCTTATTATGAAATTATTTGAAACCTTGCTTACTGTTTTTCTTTTAACTAAGACACTGATATGGGTAATAAGGAAATTTAGTTTATTTCTAATCTGATCCTATGATACATTTTAGACTAGATTTTCAGTGTTAGAGGGGGGTGAAGATAAACTAAACAGCATCATGAAGCTGACTTGCCCTCTGTCTCCCATGAGAGTATTGAAAATATTGTTTATTGAAAGACTGAATGACCAGGTTTTCATTAATGAAGCATTTACTTCATCAAAAATTTCTTTTCTCCAGAAATGCTGCTAGCTCTTTTGATATTTAACAGGTGTGATGGGGGAATATGAACCAAAGATTGAAGTACATTTTCCTGAAACAATACAAGCTGCAAAGGATTCATCTGTAAAACTGGAATGCTTTGCCCTTGGAAAGTAAGGTGTTTTTGTTTTGTTTTTGTTTTGTTAGCTGTTTTAAAAATTTTTAAACCTTTTTGTTATTCAAACATTGCTGTAAGTTAAATTACAAAACAGATTTAAAATGCTGGGCCAAAGTGGAACTTTCTATCTGAAATTTAAGCAAACATGTCTAATATTTCAGAAATGATTGGGGCTGCAATTCTCCCCTAACTGTGCTGATATTTCTTCTAGTTTGATCATAATGAGACCCATTTAAGCAGCACATTGCAAGGGAATAATTGCACTTGTGTTAGATGATGGACACATCATTCACTCCATCTTGTCTTGGATCCAGGAATACATTGCTTAGAGTGCATCCTTGCTTAATTAATCAACAATTCTTGTAAATGAAAACCCTGCCCTGCTCATTTGCAAAATAAGACCAATTAAAGGCCATTGTTCATAGGAGATAATTAGAATTGAGCCAAACCTGCCCTGGGTAGTAGAGGTGTTTGGTTTTACTAAAATAATGCTTTTCCAGGATTGTGTTTGGAATGTTTTTAAACCTGCCATATATTTCGCTTTTTTTCATGGAGTGACCAGAACATCTCTATCTTTTTGGTGATATTTGAATTTAATTTTTATGCCAGTAAATATCAGCACCCAATAAAGTAATGACTGTTGGACCAGATCTGCTCTTTGTAAACATGAAAGTTTTTATGAATTAACTGAGAATATAGTGAAATATGGATTCTGGTTCTTTTTATATGTAATGAAGTCTGATTTCATTTCGAACCAGATCTCAGGTTATGTTGATTCTTCTGGTCTACAAAACATGCTAAGTCATAAGAGACTAACTCTCACTATAACCTTTGAGCACTTTTAAGTACTCTAAATCAAAAGTGCTTTAATTCTAAATCCCAAAAACTTATTTCTAATATGGCCATAACATTTGTAAATAGTAATTTACATTCAAAACTCTGTATAACATCCTTAAAATCACTCATCAATTACTAAATATATCACACTGAATCTGAATAATGGTAGTTGTTTATGTGCTAAGTCCTTTTTACAGATAATATTTAGTATTTTGTGGATCTTTAAATTACATTTCTCAGGTCATTGCTCAAGAGTTTAAGATACTTTATCTCATTTCTGTATAGTACCAATACCAAACCATTTGTCAAATAAATATGTATCCACTGAGTGAATGATTCTTAGGAAAGTGACAGAGGTTTTAAATCATTTTTTGTTTGCCTGTGTTTGAAGACATGATGAGCTTTCACCATTTTTAAACTTTCTCAAAAAGTATAGCTTGTTCATCACCGATAAGAGGAAGTGAGGAAAAAAACAGCAATGAAGCTGCAAAGCTAAGCCCTACAATGTTCAATAGACTCCTGCAAACCCGGGTGGAGACCTGGGGACTCTTGGGCCCAGAGTCAGTGACATAGCCACAGAGGACTACAGTGGGGAGTGAAGCATCTAACTGATAAGAAGAGAGGGCATATGCATTAAGAACACCCACACTTGCAGATAATACCCACTTGATCTGGCGTCAATGACTGGATGATCAGAAGTCAACCAGAAGAAGAGGGGAAAAAAGAGTAATCTGATGAACTTGACCTACACCTATAGATGCAGTAGCTCAAAAGAGGAAACAAATCTTTATAGCAAGGATCATTCCCACCCCCTCCATGCACAGAGTAGACAGGGATGGGCAACCTGGATATTGGCTACCCA